ACATTTAACTCATTGTTGCCCCCTAATCCTGCCACCACACCACACCTTCCTGTGACCCCCCCCCCCCACACACACCTTTCTTTCACTGGATATGAGTGAAGTTTTTTTGTTCAGATCTTCCTTGATGAAACTGAAAATATGTTTTGAAATTTTATTAATTTTTGAAATGCATATCGTAATGCTTTTTACCAGCAAGTTTTGTTAACAATACGCTTTTTATTTGGGTTCCAAAAAAAGCTCTATTCTCAAAGCTACATACTTGGCAGAAAAGCTGTATCCAACTCATACCATCTGCCCTCTTTATTCTGCATGCCATTTAGTCAGCCATTTTTTAAATGTTTGCAATTTCGCTTCCTGACCATGAGCCAACCAAAAAAAAGGGAGAGAGGGAGGAAAAAGTTAAAAAAAAACATCCTATGATTGGCTGTAGAAAGGTGGTGGTCAAAGGTCAGAATTGGGGCCGAGCCTAGATGGCGGTAATTGAGAGACTGACCGCTTCATTAGATCCAAGCTCCTGATGAGATAACCAGATAAAGACTGATGAGGACCAGTCAGGTGTAACGAAGCCAATATATGGAGACACACACATAAATGTGCACATACAGTTCAACAGATGCACAGTTTCATACAAAGTACAACATTATTATATATATATATATATATAATATATACATTATATATATATATATTATTTGCAAGTATGTAAATCATTAAATGAAAAGTATTTTTTCTGTTCCTACAATTGTCCATAAATGATGTTGTGCTTAAAAACGAAATAGAATTTTGATAAAAAAAAAAAATATTAATTGTGTTTTTCAGGGTACACTTATAGGACCCAACCTTCAACAGGTACACAGATTTTACAATAAGCCTGTAGGCTACAGTACATCTACATTTATGGATGCATGCATTTGTAATTGGAGGGTAATATTTCAGCAAACTCACATACGGAAGAAAGCCTATTATCGTCATCGCACCATGCTTACAGTGACAATGGGTGGTGCTGTTACACCATATATCCCCACAGTGGTTGTGTGTGACGGGGAATCTCTTTTTTGTGCATTCAGTAACAACCCAAAGCGACGGGTGGAAAGAACGGACTAAACAACCTCCAGTCTTCAGTCAGAATGATGGTTCCCGCAGACCATTATTGTTTTTTGGCAGTA